AAACCCATTTATAATGCATTGTGACACTGAATAAAATAAAAGTAGACCATTTTTTTGAGTAAAATTTTATTTTTAACTATTATAGGTTCAAAGTCACTGCTTGGGCTCCCTGTGGAACTAGTAAGGAAACCGCGCTCAACAAGTGGCCAGTCCTTCCTCACAATGAGATCAACGCTCCATCTGTTTGGTCCTGTTGAATGCTTCAAGACCTTCAAGAAATGCTAATCAAAATTAACGTTTTTGAAATGATTCTATCAAGTCATTATATTATTACGACTTGGTGTAATATAAGGGCTGTGACCGCTGTGCATTAAAGGACCACGTGCACGCATACGAAATGTCGCCATCTTTGATTTTGAATCAATCGGAAAGCATCTTCCAACAAGAAAATATTTTTACAGCAAAATAAATGATATTAAAAGTTCTCAGTTTAACGCGTGTTGAATAATACAGTTATATCTAGAGACTCTTGGAGCGTTTATCCAAGGAATATGTTACTTAAAATATTGCTGCTTTCAAAGGATCACAAAAAATGGTTTTCATCCAATCATCCACTTATGTATTGATTTAGACAGTTGGGATTTAATTTTATAATAAAATTATATACCAAATAACGACAAAACAAGTGAGTTTCTTTAAGGTTTCTTTTTACAATGAAAAAAGGTGAGATGCTACACCCAAGGGACTTTCAGTTTCTCAATGGAAAAATACCTAATTGAATCAAGCCGCCAATGGCAACACAACTCGAAGATTGATTGTGCAGACGAATACAGAAAGATATAATGATGAATMAAATTATAATTACTTAACGAATAGAATTTTAAATAAACGATTTATGAATATAGTTTTATTATTTAACTTCGGTTCTGGATAAACACAAGCGAGCGCCGGTGAGATGAATACCACTCGAGCTACAACTATGAGTAAATGCCACGACCAGAAGCGCTACATCTGGATCCGAAAAACAAATAAAATCACCGCAAGTGTCAAAAAACAATAACAACTAAATCCCTAAGAAAACTTGGAGTTCAATTATTAAGCAAACAATATAAATTTCAATGTTGGTGGGCGAAAAAAAATTGAGTTTGCCTAATAAAAATTATTCGCAAGGAAAACCAGAATACCAGAGCAAAGGTGAAGCAAATCGACGAATACTAGTGATCACATGATCACGTGGGCTTCCAACATAAAGAGCTTAAAGTTACATTATGGCTTCATTTCTCCACATTCATTACTGATGAAATTACCCAAAAACTACTAAGTTTGACTTTTGTTTTAGCCACAAATATGTAAAATTTGCGATCTTTGGGTAAATGCTGCCACGTGTAGTAGCGCTACATCTGACAGCGAAAGACGCAAAAAAATCACCGCAAGTGTCAAAAACCAATAATAACAATCGATGTCTCTAGTCCAATTAAATCAAACAATATAAACTTCTACAAACAGCCAAGTAGATATTTACTTAAATTGGATCATCAAAGAATTTGTGGTTTAA